TAGAGCTTATTAGTTTGGTCAAGCTTTAAGATGTTTTCAGATGTTGTAAACTAGCTGTTCTGAATCATATTCCGTTTTAATTGACCACTCGATTACCGTACGTAGGACAGGCCAACAGCTCGTTCTAATATAAAAGGAACTAGCTGTTTGCCCGTTCTACGTACGGGAATCTAGTAGTAAGTTAAAACCTTATATTCAGAACAGGAGTTGGTTTGCATATTTAGTGTGCATTTTTCCAGATATGATGGCAAAACTATAACTGTTTAGGAATACATATAAACCTTCTCAAATACAATATCTGACAGTTTCAAAGCCAAAACGAATGCTTCGCAATTAAATGTCACCCGATCGTGTTAGTCCATATTTTATATCAAACGATGAAAGGAATTGCTTTACAGTATAGATCTATGAGGCATAGCCCTAAGGTAGGCCTGTAATTTAAAGTTACTTTCCACACTGGTTAAAAGTAGTTAAAACACTACCTCAACCTCACTACTGCACACTTTATTCGGGTTGAAATTTTTATTAACAATGGTGCTCTTGTCTTTTCCACGAAAAATAAGGACATTAATGCATTACCAATAGACATACACACACAAATACAGAATTGAGTCCACACAACATTTTTGAGTCCAGACAGAAAACGCTAAAAATTATACAGTAAGACATCAATTAAATTTAATAAGCAATAAGGTGCAGTGTTTATAAATAAATAGTGAAAATAGTGATGTGTTTGTATGTAAAAATTATTCTTACTGCTACCACCGGTTCTAAGGTAGCAGTACCAAAAACCAACGTTTACATTTGAGAAAAGAACTGTAGTACTTACGACTAATTCAAACTGTCCTTCTAATCAAACTGTATTATAGGTGTTAATTAATCTGTTGGCAAATATACAAATAAATAAATACTCAGGCCACAAAACATGTAACATGTAACGTTAACAACGTAAAGCTTTGAAAACTTACTATGGTTTGCTTAAAAAAAACTTTCACTTGATGTGGTGCAGTACAGAAGTTATTAATCTTCTTTGGTTTTAAATTTTTTTTAAGTTTTCGAAAATCAAAGTTATTTCCCATTAGTAGCATTATTTGTAAGCAGCTTTTAATGTTAACATATTAATGGCAGTTTGAAGAAACCACCTTTATCCAAACAAAGGTTTCTTATTTAAAAGATTACGTAATCTCTAAACGATAATCGGTACATATATCTAGCAAACATTCGGAGGAAATGTGACAAAAAACGCACAAATATGGGGTTTTGTACGTTTGTAGTTTTACTTCCTAAGTAGGAAAAGTACCGATATCGTTGTCGAAATGTAAGTAAGTAGAAAGCAAAAGTGACACATTGGAAAAACGAGTTTAGCTACATCTGTTAAGTTAAACCTCCGTTACGGTACGATCACAGCGAAATCAGAAAGATCTTCCAAGATCGCAGCAACATCCACGATCACCCACTGCAGTTGTGATTTTTTACTTTGCACTTTACACAACTGTCCTTCAAGCACCGTCAATGAGTGGAAACCTTTGTAAGCTATGGTATTGGTGACGATGATTAAAAAAATGTAAGTTTCCTTGCACTGATACAACACTGATTTACGGTATTTTCCCCGGTTATCAAAACTCAAGAACAATCATTGCACTTGCGATTAATTAAACCGGTTAAGTAAGGCACAACGTTTTTAATCTCACTTGGTTTGGATGTGCTGACTAAACTTGATCGGAAATGGTTGCAGTATTTGTAAACAACTTTTAATGTAAACATATCAGTGACAGCTAGAAGTGAGAACTAATCCAAACAGCTGATCGTTGTTTCATAAAATGTAATAGTAAACATTGGGAGAAAATGTGACAAAAATCGAACAAAATTGGGTTTTTGGTGGTTCGTTATTTCGTTTTCAAAGAAGCGAGGCCATGTTTTTATAGCCAAAGACACTCTCACCAATCCAGTTAATACAGAAAAATTATTAGAACCTTGATTGGTTCTCTAGTTTTCTAGGAGTAAGCCGCGTAAAATGACATTTTGGCGTTACAGACGCAACCACAGAATGGACAAACAGACAGACAAACAGACAGAAATTGAGATAAGACTCGTTTCGGCTTTCTTAGGCTATGAAACGTAAAAATAACCAAAAACTGCATGATTCTAAGCAATGTACAGACAAAACTGTAATTTTATTTATATAGATTAAAGAATTTAGTCAGCTGTTTCAACTATATATGTTGGTTCTATCTATGGTATGGAATAGCATTAAAAAGCTGTAAGGTTTACCAACAGGGTGTAGCACTATTATTTTTTACATTTATGACAATAGATAATTTGAACTAAGCAGCAACAAAAAAAAGTGATATGCAATGATAGTCAAAGTAGGATTATTTACAGTTATGTTTATGTGTTTAATTAAATGAATGATTTGTTTGTTTGATAGTTTATTTTTTCAATGGTTTAGGCGCAGTGTTAGAACATTATGGCTATGGTACATGTGTTATACTATAGCATACCGTAAATTTAAAGAACCAATTTTTACCAAACTGTGTCCTCCCCCTGGAGCCACCCCTGGACATCTCTGTGTTTTTTACTCCCCATCACTACGAAACAACATGTAGCCATTCTAATTACTCAAAGATTTATCTCTATACAAATGTTGTCTTCACTTAAAATTGTAGGTAAAAATAATTATGGAGCTTGATGGTAATGGTCAATAACAATATAATATGAACCCTGATGACTCCGCTCAATTTTGTAGATGCCTCTGCAAACGCCACCTAGTTACAAAATACAGTATCTCTAGTTACAAAGGGAAAAAACATCAGTTGTTACTATTGAGCAAAGATGAAAGATTACACTGAAGATTCCTCGGGTACAATGAAAATAAACTATACCGAGCCATGGCTCAGTCCCCATGTACTGGATATAGAATTGTAAAAGAATTAATAGTACCGTAAGTATATCCATAGTACGATTTTGTTTACACTATCAATACAATCATCCCTGGCATCCCGTTTTAACATTTTTATTGTTAAGTTTGAGTATCATATTATATTTTTGCTAATCCTTTTTACTTTCTCCCCCTATACCATAGTATATGGAGAAAGTATTGTTTTCGTCAAAATTTTCGAGTTTGAGTTTTGAGTGGATATATTCGTTTTGGGTCCCCCTGGACCCAAAAAAGTGGTTTTCGAAGTGATGTCTGTGTGTGTGTGTGTGTGTGTGTGTGTGTGTGTGTGTGTGTGTGTGTGTGTGTGTCTGTGTGTCTGGATGTGTACAGAGCTAGAGACTACACCTGTAGTCCAATTTCGATGAAATTTGGTATGTAGGTTCTAATCCATGGTATCTCCAGGAGTTTTTTTCATTTTTTTGAAATTTTGATTTTTAATGGGGAATTTCCCATAAAAACCCATAAAAAACCGGAAAAATCGAATTTTCTCAAAAATGGCCCGAACGATTTTGATAAAAATTTAGTATGTTGTAGCCCTTTAAATTCTGAACAAAATGGTACAAATCCCATTTCTCTAAAAATTACGGTTCAAAAGTTATGGTAAATTATGTTATTTTCCCATAAAAACCCCATAAAATAACGAAAAATAGGATTAAAAAAAACCCGCTTTTTATTTAACATAGTATGTAATGGTCCTTACAACATTCATAGTTTTTTCAATTTTTTAGAAATTTTGATTTTTAATGGGGGTTTTCCCATAAAGCCCCATAAAATAACGAAAAAATAGGATTTTGCCAAAAACGGCCCGAACGATTTTGATAAACATTTTGTATGTCATTGTCCTTTATATTCTGAACAAAATGGTACAAATCCCATTTCTGTAAAAATTACCGGTCAAAAGTTATTGTAGATTATGTTATTTTCCCATAAAACCCCCATAAAATAACGGGAAAATCGGATTTTCACAAAAATGGCCCGAACGATTTTGATAAAAATTTTGTATGTTATAATCCTTTAAATTATGATCAAAATTGTACTAATCCCATTTCCGTATATTTACTCTCACCGCTTACACGTGATAAAGGCTGTTGACAAACTTATGGGAGAAAGTATGTGTCAGAATGCTGATACCGTTTATTTGATAATTGGTGAAGCATGTTCACTAGTTCTATTATTAGTTTCAAACGAATTCAAGACAAACACGCACAGTAGTTGAGTATTGTCCTTCAGGGTTTTAGTAATTCTTACCCATATCCATAGGACTATTACTTTCCCTCCCCCTATACAATAGTATACGGAGAAAGTATTGTTTTCGTTAAAATTGTCTAGTTTGAGTGGATCTCAAACTAGTTTCATCTAAGCCCAAAAAGTGGCTTTAGAAGTGATGTCTAGTCTGTTTGTGTCTATATGTGTGGATGTGTACAGGCTATAGACAACATCTGTGGTCCGATTGTGATGAACTAATCCATGGTATCTCCAGGCGTTTTTTTTTCAGTTTTTTTATTTTTAATTGTGATTTTCCCATAAAACAATAGAAAATTCAGATTAAAAAAAAAACTTGTTTTGATTGATGTTATTTTTTTAATGATAGCTTCTAAATTGTATCCCCGTGAATTCAAGGGTAGAACCTCTTGTAAATGTTTCATTTACCTGGTTACAATCAAAACAATCCTGGGTAGTTTTGATTATAATGGGTATGTTGTACATCTAGTCATGTATTAAACGTGTTGTGAAACACAGGTTATGAAAGAAATTGGATAGGTCTCATAGGCTATGAGTTAAAATTTCTCCAATAGGCGTACCTACAGGTGAAGTTCCTGAGAGATCTATACTTTTTTGTTTGCCATTCAGTTAAGGTTAGCTCCAGTATTATTACATCAATCTGAGACTCTAGCACAGAAATCCTACACTTCGCTGGACCAGCCGCATTTTATCATTAACACTATTCAAACAGTAGTCAGAATCTTAAGAATCTGGCCTCAATCCATCTACAATGACAGTAATCTAGATTGTGAACACAATTGCGATTCATCAACTAGGAAGAAAATAAAAATTCCAAATGTTCACAAATTGATCAATATGAATATTTATTTCACTCATTGTACAGAATCAACAAACATACTCTTGTTTCACAAATCGTATTGTCATAAGTTACAGATAGGACACATTTATTATTGTATTAAACATATATAATGGATAACCTAATAGTCAAATCTTAGAAAAAACCTACAGTTTGATGACTAGGGAGGCACACAAATCTTTTTGGAAAGTTTACACATAACGTGAGTGGATAATAATCCTGGTTAAAATAATTATAGGATTTATATTTAGAAATTGTCAAAAATATAAATCAAAGCAAAGTTTTAACAAAGCACCACACAAAGCAAAAACTACATTTTTTAAAGTAGAACTTATTCATTTTTGAGACAAAAGATTAGTAAGCCTGTACACAAAGAAGATAAGGTGCATTAAAAGAGAAATTTGATTGAGCCTGTTTTTAGCTGCTTTGATTTGCAATTAAAAAAAGTATTTTGAATGTCAGGCAGTGATTGTGTTTTGACACCTCTAAAACATTCCTACATATTTCTAATTTAAAACAATCAGTTCACTTAATGGAACAGAACAACTGAAATTCCTGTGAATAAAAGTGGAATGTAATCCATTGTGAATAATTAATTCAATAATCATGTACTCTTACATTGCATTACTTCTACTGCATAATTACTGGGAATTACACTAGTCTGTTTGCATACAAGATTTAGTATAAATTAAATTATAAACCAAAGCTATAATGAACGTTAGAAGAAATATTTAGTGCAATCAAAATAAAAAGCATAACCACATCTAAAAATAACAAATATAGCAAAATAACACATAACAAAGGTTTTGTGTAAAACCAGGCTGCAGTACACATAAGTAAGTAACCAATATAAATTAAGTAACAATAATGTATCTAAAACTAATTTAATAAGTAAATGTAAATATATTTACACTTTTTATTGATTGTTACATTTACTCTACCTTAAAAAATACATTTGGTTTTAGTGTAACCCCCTTACAGAGTAAAACAAGGTAACAAATAATGTTCTAGAATCATATCTGTTTATGTCTTGATCAACATCCTAGACCTAATCAATACAGTATCAACATTTGGTAAGGGATAAGAGGGAAAATGTGATGAAAAAGGTACAGTGACTGTAAAAATGTCATGTAAACTTAAGACCAGAAACACTTTTGTGAAAAAGTAAATTTAATATTGTTCCCTGCCATGAACTGAACAGAGTAAGTTTTATATGGGGCTGAAAAACATTAGAAAATTGAAAATGGGCCTACTTTGGGTAAGAAACTTGGATGTGGAAGGAATCTGACAGTTCCTAATATGGCACTGTTAACACATTATTTAAGGAATCACAAACATTTCACAAAATTACTTCTTATGACTACTTTGGTTCCCTTGGGATTATTGTTATAAGACATGGAAGCCAAGTGGACAGTGGTTACCATCAAACCCCAAGATTTGTTAACAGCTCAAGCCTGAGTAGGGTTGCTACAAGAAAATAACCCTCTGGACAGTAACATTTCTTGGAAGGAAAAATATCTTCTAATATTTGCAGGTGTCAATGGAAGTTATTAAATATTATATTACTTTAGTTAGAACAAATTCACAATGGGTGTAAAATTTGTGGCATAATTCAGACTAGATTTTATGTATTTGCTTATAATATAATTGGAAAGCCTGATCTCCTTTCTACCTTCTCCCACTTTTGACAGGTTTACACTCAGGTTTTAGCTCAGCAAAAAATGGCAACCTTACTCCTGACAATGATAAACTCTGAAGCTTTCGTTACTAGGTTATGAATTAATAATACTTTCTAGGGTGAGTGCACCATGACCGTTTAAGCTTGAGTTTCTACTTGAATCTAACATGGGAAAATAGGATAAAACACTACAATGTAGAGAATAGTTTAAACGTCTAGCCTGTATTCTCCTGCACCTCCCAATAATAAAACATAATGTATTATGTTTAAAAAGAGGGTTGAAAAATACAATTTGTAGAGTGCCGGACATAGGTGGTCGAATTCTGATTATAGTGTGGCTACATTTTGTAATCTGTCAAAAAACTTAAGTTTTTAAAAAAATGTAAAGAAATTTTTCCAAATCTAGTTTATGGCCAAAATGGTCATTTACTGTTTCAGTCACCCTATCAACAGGTTAACATTAGATAGTAACAAAACCCATATGTGGATAGTTCCTTACAACTAATCAATGTACAAAATACTTCTGGCAAACACGTAGTGCACAAACCACTTTCTCTTGACACAAAAGCATACAAAAACCACAATAGAAATAGACTGTATATACTGTAACCTCTTTAGTCTCTTTACAACTAAAGCTTTAAAACAATTTAGGATTTATAAATACAGTATTCATATTTAACTATAAATATATATAGACCATCCAGTATTTTTATTATTGTCAAACACACAAATCCATTAAATGCTAATAAAATAATTTGAGGTATAAATAAATAACTTTTAATAATACAGGCAATATCACACATCACTAAGTACAAATTTTTACTACTAAGAAATCTATAAGAACAATAAAATCTTAATTTATTGTTTTCAATAGGAAAGAACCATCTGTACTGAATTAATCTGGAATAAATATTTTTAGGACTCTTTAATATTATTGTTGACTTTTTTTCTTTCTAAAATATCAGTACAATAGTCAATGGTACAACTGTCAAACCGATTCAAATAATTAAACACACACAATTTAATAAATAATACATGTGGGATATTAAGTAATATAAGTATTCTAAAATTTATTAAGTAGATGTAATACAATCAAAATACATTTTGATGAAACTAATTAAGTAGGTAATAAATTAAAAGGTAACATGAATAAGTTGTTAATATTTTAAAGCTTATCATTTGGTTATACTTTTCAGTGGCTGCCCTAGAGATTGCAGGGCCCAAGGCGAAGCACAATAGCGGGCCTATCTTCATAGCTTACATACAGCTGTACATACCCAGGCACCGCCTTGTTCGCCTTTATGTAGGGCTGTCTTTGTTACTTTTAGTCACTAATCAGGAACAACGGACCAAAACATAGGCGTAACTAGGGTCTAATATTGTAAGAGGAGAATGAGTGGCTTCAGCTACACTACCCCCCAAAGATTGGACACCTCCGTACGCTTACACCTTGGGCCAGTACTTATGGAAAGAGCTGTATTTTCAGGTAGTGTGTGAGGGGATGTGCCAAATTAATCTGATGAATTGTAAGATTTATGGCTCCCAATCAGGATGCAAAATGTCCTGCTGTCTGTTTTAAGTTTTAGGAAAGATTGTTGTATACATTTAAAAAAATAGTAAATACAAACATTTTAATAAAATACATCCCTTTTTTAATGTTGGTATAGAGCTCATTTCATTATTGTCACAAAACAAGTTTAAATTGTAATATTATTTCTGTTCAGATTCAAAACTACAAGAAAATATGTACTAGTGAAACCTATGCCAAAGTCAGTTTGAAGGATAAACAATACATTTGTTTATTTTAATATCTATCTGCTTACTAAATAGTAAAACGAGTAAAAAAAAAGTATACTTTCAAACAAGGATACTTTTAGCAACTATATACAAAATACATTATATGACTAGACTATAATCGATTGCACATGTATTTTAACAATAATATTTTTATAAAATAGCTTTGTTAGGGGCAGTTATATAACACATAACAAACGTTTCTGCAATATTTTCACCCCTTCTTGCACTGTATAAAACAAAGCTGATATCTGAAAACTTCACATTAACGCTAAGCCAAATCCTTAATAAGCATTCATCTCTGAAAACACAAAAATCAACATGATTCCAATAAAGAATCCAACTAGTACCTATGAATTATTGTCTAGTTTACATAACATATCATAAATACAAAAGTTACCAACCAAAACTTTATTCTCTATTCAATATCTCTATCTCATCTATTCAAACTGCTGAAAATGTTTTTAAAAGGTAGAATTTTTATTCAGTGAGGCTATATTGAAATTTTACTACAATATTATACTGAACTGCCATTAAATAGGTAATACAGTATTCAATAAAAAATCCAAAAAGTCAATAAAAACAATAAAAATGCTGTGATAAGATATTTAATTTAGACAAACTGTACTGTAGAGTCTCAATACTTTTTTGTTTCCTCCATTTTTCGCAATAGTTTTTTGTTTTATTCGGAGCGCAATCAATAGAAATATATTGGTTAATTTTAATCGCGTAAAAGTAGAATCCTCCACACTCTCGTTTCCCACTCATGACTCATTACTGCCACTGCTTGCATTACGTCGCTACAGTGGCGGCGTTATATCTGGAGCTACGACAACGGTTATAATTTGAACAGCAGCCGCTGACTCGGGGTGGGGAGGTTGTTCAGCGCACGTGGTACATTGTACTATCCGTTTTGTACTACTCCGTATGTCTATCCACTTATTTGGTTCAAACAATCATTGACTGTTTCAACATCTAAGCTTAACGCTATTCATAGTTTTCAAGATTGTACTTTGTTGTGTTACAGTTTATATCAGTGTTGAGTGCTGAAAGTAATAATAAAGCCTCCCATCATGTAACCAAAAGATACATAGACCAAAGAATTTATTACCAATGTTTTACATTTCAAGTCATCTAGGCGGAAAACGGAACGGTAACCATTCCACTTCAAAAGTGTCAGGAAAGAGCAGCCAGGGCTACGGGCACATTAATAAGTACAGTAAAACAAGTGAACCAGGCGTACCATTGACTTTGGATGCTGCAAATAGTCATTCCATTTATGTGAACCAAATATATTATTAACATTGGATACTACAAGTATTTAATCTCATTTACGAGAAACAGATGTAGGCCTACCATTAAGTTTAGAAAAGTATTGGATTAATATGCTAGCTCCGCTCAATAATGCAAGCAGACAACTGCATTTTACATCTAGTTTTAATTTTTCAGTCCGCACTCCAATTTTTTATTCGTTAAGAAAATGATTTGGTGCCTTATTATACCTTATACAAACAAGGGAATTAGTAAGATGTATTTTTCCACAGTGAATTCGGCATTTAATTTGTAATTGTTTACATTAAAAAAATATAGTAAGGACTATTGTCACTTTTTACTTGAAAACAGTATATTATTTCACTTTCAATATTTTAAATTAAAATATATTAACATGTAATAACAGTTTTGGTGATCGTCACCACACTCGTCAGTCGCATCACTCAGACTACGTTGTCTATAGAGGTGGCTGTGTCTGACCAGCGCTGTGATGTGCGCAATACCTCGGGTGAATGGTGTGGGGGGAAGGTGTGAGTGGGGCTATGTTTATCATATGGGTAGGACAATGTCACACGCCTACCATTGAATGAGCGGGTGAGCTTACTCCTCCTAGTAATGAAGTAGGCCACAGCTCAAGATATAACTGTGACGACTTTACTTGTTCCGCCTTATCTTTTTTTATATTTAAATTTTTATGTAATTTTTGTATTACTCACAAAAAATGTCAGTTTCTTTTGTTCAATCTGGTGAGAAACATATCAGTTGGCTAGTGAAAACTGGAAGTGGCCATGAGGATTTTTACATAACCCCTCCAATGACGAACTGCTCTGCAGAACGATTGTTTTTAGCTCTTAAGCGGATTAAGTCAATAGGTCAACACTTAAACAAAGTAAACTAAACCATTTAATGACCATGTACATAAAGTGATGTATCCCTAAAAATACTTTGATGATGAAGTTGTCAAAAAAAGAAGGAAAAATAGTCATGTAAAAGTGTTGAGTGTTTAGAGTAGTAAATGTTTGTAGTTACATCTTACTAATATTATAAATGTGAAAGTTTGTGTGTTTGTTTGTTTATTTGTTTGTTTGTTTTAAGTTCAATCACGCTTTAACTACTGGACGGATTGGGCTGAAATTTAGCATGATGATAGCTTACTTTCCCGATTAACATATAGGCATATTCTTATCTCAAAAATCCTTTCGGGCTCCGCCCCAGTGGCTCTTTAGCTCCCCATATTAACCTTATGAGTATTCATATTTAATGGGAATTAAAGAATTTAGTCAGCTGTGTTTCAACTAAAAAGTTGGTTCTATGATATGCAAAAGCATTAAAAAGTTATAAGATTTACCAACAGGGTGCAGCACTACTGTTTTTTTGCATTTATGAAACAGCTAATTTGAATTAAGCACTACGCAATGAGAACTGTCAAAGTAGGATTGTTTACAGGCATGTTTATGTTTTTAATTTCATGAATGATTTGTAATATTTTGTGGTTTTTTAATAATTAATTTTTCTCTAAAATGAAAGGAGAAGTGGTGAATTCTAACTTTTTTATAACTAAACTTGTATAACTTTTAAAACTTAACCTTGAAAATATAAATGTGTATGTAAGTAAAAGTTAAACTTTTTGTATTTAATGTAAGGTTTACGTTTTGACTTTACTACGCAGGTAATTTTATTAACAACCAAAAGTAAACACAATATAACTAGCCTTATCGTTGTTATATTGCGAATGACAGGGCACAACTACCTCGCAAGCCCTTACATACTAACCGCGGGCATGAGCTATTTGGCTATGATACCCAGGGGATTAGGAACCTTCTCGGACCTCGACTCACCCTTCAGACCCGCTCGTCAGAGTGGCCGTTGATAAAAAGTTTACCTACCTACTGTCACAGTCCCACATATCTGTAACTTTTATTTTAAGTTAAAACAAATTGTTCTTTGTATATTTGAGTTCTACCCTACATGAAATTCCAAAAATAATAGGGTTCAAACACAATGTAGATACTTAATATCTACGATCTGAAAGTCAGACAAAGCTCTTGACGATACAGAGTAATTGTAATACTTTCAGATCGTAGATATTAAGTATCCACATTGTGTTTGGGCTCATTATTTTTGGAATTTCATGTAGAACTCAAAATTTATTTTAACTAAAAAAAAAAAAAGTTACAGTTCTGTGGGTGAGCCACTGTTTGTCTCCGGCCAGCCCGACGAGCAGGTCGAGAGGGTGAGTTGAGTTCCGAGAAGGTCCTTCAACGCTGGATATCATAGCCAAACGGACGGACTATAAGCAATGTGATTTGAGGCATGCAAAATGGTGTCTACTTCCAGTATCCAAAGTTGATGAAGTGACTAAGTGAGGGGTATTAGAATGTTATGGAGGTATGAGGTGTTGATGAACTGTAAGGTATGCAGCACAACAATCAAGTGCAAGTGTCTGAAGCCTTCTGAATACAAGACAGGGGCCTGCAGGGGGCGTTGGGCCTGCTTTGGTGCAGTCATACCACACAATTATCAATTGTCTGTAGGGAGGGTCAGATAACCGAAGATTGGATGATCGAGACTCTAATGTACAAGATATTTTTAAATTCAGTAAAGCTTAATGTTTTACAAAATATCTTTTGGAATGGTACTTTTAATCTTAGATTTGTGTTACCTTTGTGGAAGCCCTAAGAAGTTGCATACTTAGATTTTTTAGGCAAAAATTGAATTATAATATGACACATTAGAAAAATCCATTATTTGGTGGTAAGAACAAAATTAATAACTTTAAATACTGTGGTTTGAAATACTGTTGTGACATTTTTTTTCAACAAACTATAAGACTATAAAAGAGATTACTCAAGCAGTGATAAAAATAACTCAAGTAACAATAATGAATATTATGAATTTTAACAACAATACAAAAATAACCTTACTCATCTAAATTTTAAAACACAAATTTTGTAAAAACTGTATAGACTATTAGGCCTAACTCTGTTGACTTTGGTTTGGCACAGGAGGAAAAAGCCCAACACCCTTTACAATATTTGGGCTTGATCAAACATTACTGTTGGATGTACCAATTTATGGTATATATTTGAATTAAAAAGTATTTTTAGCATGTAGGATTATTAATTGAGTGATGACATTATGAGACCATTGCACTACAGTAATGTAATAGCTACTGCCGGTATTGGTTTATGTTATTGTCTTGCTTAGTAGGCTACTGTGTTTTGATTAGTACCTGAAACTTGTTTCGGTGTAACACTTGAGTGTATTGATTTAAACTAAATGTTAACTCTAATTTTAACAGTATTAAATCTAAGTAAAAACAATAGTTTTCAAATGTGTCGTTCTGTTTTGTCATAATAGTTTTGAAATTCAGTAAAAACTCTTAAATAAGGAGAAAAGGCATCGATGCATTCAAGCATAACTGGACATAAACATTTACTAAAACTGTCAGCTGGTACAAACATGTAAGCAAGTAATTCAGCATTAATCTATGTTGTTAGAATGGCTGTTAAACTCACAATATTGATCACAGTTTGGTAAAGGTGAAAAGTATTTTTAAGAATTTGACTTTGAATTAACATTTAAGATTCATAACTTTTTTTTAAGTCTTAAGATAAAACCAATGAAAATAGCCAAGAGAAAAGTAATCAGATATAGACATGGAATTAATAGAAAACTAATATGATGCATAAATTGTGTGATAAGAAGTTCAATTTAAATATTGATGAAATAGTCAACTTTAATTTTGTCTCTAATATGATAATTTGGATGTTCAAAAAGTTTCTACTACGTTTAGGATAAAAAAAAGTAAATAATATTAAGTTTTAGTTAATGAAGATTAAAAGTATCTAGAGGAGATTGATAATCAATTAAAGGAAAATGCGGTTTTATCTACAACAAAATCAAATTAAAATAAATTTAAATATGCATTGAAATCTATCATTGGCTTTTTAATACACCAGCTAGTTAAAAATCGAAGATGTGACGAAGCATCACTTGGTGATGACAAAACACACCTAGTTTAGGCCTTTAGGTTATAGTTGACATACTACTAAACTTTAACAGGAGCAATGCTGTATATTTCAGATTGTTTCACATCAGAACATCGATAATCAGCATTTGTAGGGAATAAATGCCATTTGGTATCATCAGAGCTCGTAGTCAGCGAAGGCTTTTCTTCTATGTCTTCAGTGATGATCAACCTATCATCGTCTTCATCATCCTCATATTCATTGCTGTCCATTGGTTCCTCTTTGAGAGGATCTACTTCAACTTTGACCTCTTCATTATTATTTTCATTTTCAACATAGTTTTGTATCTCTACGATTTCAGGTTTGACCACTGTCTCTTTGGGTTTACAAGGGTGTACTTTTGACTGATGCTTCTGTAATAGAAAGTTGCGAGTAAAGGTGGCATGACAAGTTTTGCACTTGAAAGGTCTTTCTCCCGTGTGGACTAAAATGTGACGTTTCAAATCTGTGGACCACCCGAAAACTTTGGTACATAGGTGACAAGCATACTTCTTCTTACCAGAAGAAATAACAGCAGGTTCTGGAGAAACCAGACCTTTAGGTTTCGGAGCCAACTTCCTAAATCCTTCAGATTTCCTTTCGATTTTCTTTGGTGAAGGCTGTTTTCGACTAGCTATTTTTTTTGGATTGGTATTTACTGACTTCTTGTCATTTTCTTCCATGGTAATCATACAATACTTAAGAGGACTGTAGTCGTCTGAAGCTTTAGTATCGGGTGTACTGTTGGAGATATCACATTCGTCTTCTTCTTGCTTAATGCTAACATTGGTATCGTTGTTGGTAGTTAAATTACTTACACAATTTTCCAGTCGTTTTTGCAAATCAAACTTGGCTAGTTTGCAGGGCTGAGGTGACACAGACTCCCGCGACTCGCTGCTGTCTGAGGCTGACAATGTCTGACTACACTCAGAACTTGACTCCCCTTGACTAGTCCTCACTTCATCCTTTTTCTTATTTTTACTCCTGCTGGCAAATGTCTCTTTGAATCTGGATTTGCGCTCTTGTAGAACATGTTCAGCAAAGTGTTGAAGAAGTTTGGTTGCAGAGGTAAAAGTAGAATCGCAATCACAACACTTCAAACTTAGATCTGTAAAGAGATGACAAATGAATTAAACCCCCAATTGAATTGAATTTATTCATTTAGGTCTATTCATGATAAACAAATAAAAAATCTACAATGTTTTTTAAACAAAAACAGTTTGAAAACATTATCTGACCTAAGAGTCTGAGTTCTGAACACTGATCATACTGCCGATAGACATGTAAGGGTTATACTTTAAATAATACTGAAATTATTGCTAATGCTATTGCAATGCATTGGATTACATTTTCTCTACACTGATAACTTGGAAGCACTTGGAGTAGAGCACTTGTAGAGCACTTGGAAGAATGCAAATTTGAGAACCTTTTTTTCCATGGAAACTTTAAATGGATCAGGAGTTCTTGCAAAGAACTGAATTAAGGGATCTGACCACTCCTACTGGTTAACGTTAACCAAATGTAATTTTTCTCAAAACCATGTAAAATAAGTCATAGTTTTTTTATGCTTGAAGGAAATCCTTTTTAGTAGAGATATTTTAGAGTAACATAGGCCTCACTAAATGATTTTATTTTTATTTATTTTCTATACAGTAGACTCCCTCTTATCCGGACTCCTCGGGACCGAGGCCAGTCCAGATAACAGTTTTTCCGGTTAAACCAATGTCCCCAAAAAACTCGTTAAAACGCACCGTTTGAATGCATGCTGTTAGCTTATACAGTATTTGACTTAAATTTAGGAGAGCATTGTATTTAGACACTGGTTTTAAATCATTCACATGAGAACAGTAGTTTCAGTACCGTTCACTTCCTGCCGATCTAGAACGGTTAAACTGATGTGCTGATAACAATTTCCCGGTTAATCCTTTCAGTGCTATGAAACGATATATCGTTTGTTTTAAAAAATCTCTAAGGGATATAGAGAGGAAGGTTATTTTAACAAAAATTAGCAAAACGGCCATTGGTGACCTGCATGTTCATAGGATACACTAACAACCACTTAGCTAAAAGATTTGCCCAATCCGATGATTTCGAGGTGTATGTCTAAACCAAGGATTATGAACACCTCAATATGCCCCAGTGGTTGTAGTATATCGCTACAAACACACAGGTCACCAACTATTTGCCACACAGGACGGGAATCGAACCCAAGCAGACGAATGCCACTGGCCAAGTGACACACGCCCTAGCCTTCTCGGCTATCTGTGCTTGAAGACTGAGGAGTCAAAACCGTTATTTAAGCTGACGCCACCGATTGCGAACAGATAGCGCTACAGATGGTTGTTCAATGCGTTACTAGGTAGCAGCACTAGTTAGTCACGGACTATTTAGATGATATTTTTCAGTTGAAACACAACAGTGATCATAAATGTGTTTCTAAAACTTTGCTGCAAAACATTATTTTCCCTAGAATGGCTATATTACAATAACCTCGTCCAACTAAATCAAAGTTAAATTCAATATCACATTGTAAACTATATGTCTTTTGATTTTATGAGTTTCTGGTTTCAAACAATGCTATCAGAACATAAAAATTTATAGGAAAACCAAATTACAACAAAAACTAAGTTTTATTTAATGTTTACTACAAATACCGGGATTAATCTTTGTTATATATTTTTTTATTGTCTTGTTATTCAAAATTAGCCTAATTAATAAAATAGTGACAACATTACGGTTAAAATTCAACAACAGGTAATGGAATTGAAAGGAAAACAAAAAAGCCTTACGAAATACAAATTATTGGCCTAGCACTGAAAGGGTTAAAGAGCTGTAATTTTTGCCGAGTGTAGTCCGGTTAAACTAAACTTAAAAATATTTTTTAGGTTGACTAACATTGGAAAATTTCAAAAATATTTCTCTATTACTGCTTGAGAAATGTGGTATGTAAGTAAAAAAACTGTTGGGAAAATCAATGAATATATTACTAAGGTGAGCCCTGCTTGGTTGTGGTGGAGCCCTAAAATGCTGTGTAATGTTTCAGTCAGTAATTTTTATTGCGATAGTTTATTCTTATCCACACTAATAATGAGTTAGATAATTTTAAATAGAGAAGATTCTAATCCAAAACATAACGCAAAAAAACTAAAACCAAATTTTTAAATATTTTTTGTTACCACTCCACTTAAAGAGCATAGGCTTGTTTCCAATAATTAAGGAGAAACTACAAAGCAAATATGCATAATTGGACAGGATTTAATGTTCTACCTCTTGTATCACAGTATGCTAGGTGTGAAGAGCCAAAATAGTGACAGTTTGTAATGATGACCATCCTCATCCTAAACAGACCTGAGATATGTCGTGGAAGTATATGTAACTCTCCCCACAAGAACAAAAACGGGTAAACTGGTAATGTAAATTCATTATAATAGCTTCAGGCAATAACTGGTTAAAGATCTTGTTTATTTTTTTATTGAGGTGCGCAAGCAGCTCGATTATTGAGCCAAGGCAAGATTGGCATAACAGCTCGAAAAATAGAGCACTTAGTCAGATAACCAAGCTCGGCTTAATTTTTACTTGATCGTGATATTATCGCTATCACAGTATGTGTTTGTAAAAAATACACACCTTTGCGACAACAATACAAAGTTCCGTGGACCGTGATCGCAGGACGTGGGAGATGACGATGCTGTCTACTCGACCATGGGCAGTGCCTGGGATTTTTTAAGTGATTACAGGAGACAACAAAAATGTTTCTGTGATTGCAAAAGATATTCAGAATATTGCCATGATCGCAGGAGGGAATAATGAGGTTTTGCAGATTGTGTGTGATGTTTACAATTTGCTGTGATTGTGGAAGACAACAATGATGTCCACAAGACCACAAGAGATTTCCAGAATTTGGCTGTGATTGGAGTAAACAATTGTGATATTTGGTGATCACAAAAGATGTATGTACGATTTGGCCAGAACAGAAGACGAACAGAAGGCGATTTGATAACAGAAGACAATGATACTACCGCAACTGCGGGATATGAGCACAACATTATTATGATGACGGATTATAGCCATGATTTTATCTGATTGTCAGGCTGCTCTCAAAGCTCTTGACTCAAATTAAGTCAACTCAAAACTTGTCTGGGAGTGTTTCAACACCCTCTGCAGACTTGCATCACGGAACTCTGTAACTCTCGGCTGGGTCCCAGGCCATGTAGGCATTGGCGGCAACGAGAGTGAGGACAAGCTGGCAAAAAAAGCCTGTTGTAGTCACCTGTTTTGTAGCTATGCTAAGTATAAACGTTTTGTGACAATAAAGATTGATTTGATTTTGAACATAAATAACAAGACCATCGTACACATGTCACCCTTGATAATAAAATGTGTTTTCAAATTCCCACTTGAATTTTATTTCTCCCCAATCATGTATTACTGTAAACCTTGATAACAAGTGTTATTTAATAATCTCCATAAGAGTCTTGTTATCAAGGTTCTACTGTATTAGATGTTTTATGATATGTTTATATTATTAATTAATATGTTTATGCCTCCATTACAGCAGCTCAAATAGAAGTTTCCCAGAAACATAAAAAATATATTTAACTTTGCCATAGTCTATTTTGCTTTTTGAAAGAAGATTTGTGACTAAGTTAATAATATATACTAGGTGGTAGCATTGTTACTTTCAATGCTTACGCTTAATTCATCTAACTGCGATAAATTGAGTGAAATCATACATATTTTGAGCATTTAGCATTATTTAAAGAGTAATAATTGTAAAAACAATATATTAATTGCGTTAGTTACCAAAAAGAGTTGATCATTCAATGAATAAAATATTTCCCATACTGTACGTCATCGGAGTTGTTAGTATGCTATCTAGTATCTCTTCCTTTGGAAGGACCTTTAATTAGTATTAAAATCATATTGGTGGATCTTTTGTAGCTACACACTTCCGTGATTTCATCAGTGTAATGCAGATTGGTCTATGATTTTATTGAAGAATATCTGTTTGTTGGAAAGACTCGTTCTAACTTCAAGGGGAGGTATATCCGTTACAGTGTAAGTTTGATTTTTCCCTTGTCACGTCACGTCAGTTCATATCGTACTTATGTGCCAATGAATAACCCTCTAGCACAGTTTTGATAAATTGGTTATGGGGTTACTGTTAAGGCTGGAATTCCTTGACATGGGGGATGTCAGTTAGTTGTTTCAGCCTTATCAGTTGCATAAAGTTGGCAATATAATCTCTCTACGGAATGTTAGGTATAGTGGAATATACTTGAAGTGAAGTTGGCTTTTATTCTTGAACTGTTAGTGGCCTCCTCATTTATATGGTCGTGCAGCTTCATTGGCAACAAATAATGCGAATGACATAGTAATGTGGCATTTCAGAAAAACAAAAAATAATGTAAATTGGCTGTTACGTAAGTATTGACGTTTACATGCGTTGTTAATAAACGTATCATATAAAGGATGATGTGATCTAGTTTAAAAGGAAAATGACCTTTCTGTCATGACAGTAGCTGCTTAAATAGTATTTACTCATTGGGCCATTTTAACAGCCAAAATGTCTTGTCATTTTCAATAATGTTACCAACCCAGTGGGCCACGGTCGGTAATATAGGCCACTGCAAATAATTTGTCAATAAAGGTATTATTTTAGGCAAGGTTTCTGTGTTTGGATGTTTTTAGAAACGGTAAGAGTACAATCAAATATTCTGCAGATGAACTTTCTGTTGGAGAAATATAAGCCGAATTATAAATGTCACGATGCGAGTTTGAGCATTTTGTAACAATATTATATGGGTAAGTTACATAGATTTTTTAGACTGCTGCTCAGTGCACTTTAAAAGAATATATATTTTAGAGATAAATTAAATGGTTTTTGTTGCATAGTAGCGCTAGTAAACATGCACAACCCATTTCGTTAGTCTAATGACATTCAAAGGCTCTCTAAGAGTTTAGATTCTTATTTGTTTACATATCTATATTATGCTTTCACTAAGCTGAATGAATACATAAAAGTAACCTCTCTAAAAAGTCTGCAGTATATTGCAGTTTTCCAGCTTAAATTTCTAAATTATGCACATATTTCTACATAAATAATGTAAAACGTTTTGTCCAGTTTCTGTAAACCACTAATAATTTAACAAAATATGGACTCGGCTCAAATGGGCATCGTGCCCTTCTGCACATGTATTATTTTGTATTCTATTACACAATCGAAGATTTTTCCAACGATTGAAAGCATGTATGACAATAACCTCACGATCCTATGATCATCTGTCTTGAATGATATAGGCAAAAGTGGTATAAAATGCAGACACAACCCGTTCAATAGTTATACGATAATTCAATAAAAAATCATTTCAAAAGTTGCTGTTATAATAAGATTTATCACCGATTTCATTCCGTAATGGAACGTTACATTACAAAACATGATATGATACAGAAGAAAATCTATTTTAAAATCAGAAAATAACATTGCAAATACTTCTTTTGGACTATTTAGTAACTCCCAATAGATGTGTGTTGTTTAAAATACAATTTTAAAATTAACAGCTGTTTCATTAAAAAGTATTATCCACATGGCCAAAATGTAAACAAATCTGTGGAGGGATCTTTAAAGGCTTCTGGGGCAGAGCCCTAAGCGAATTTACTTCATTTTTCTTTTGATAACTCATCTACAGACCAAGACCTTTCTTTGGACACCTCTACCAAGTTTTTACGCCCAGCCGTTCTCTCAAATTAGTGGAGACAAAGTTTCCAATTAAATATTTAGATTCGGTCCAAAAATGAGAGAGGAGTTCTGTTCACAAAAATCGGCTTAGCGTATTATATATATAGATATGTATATATATATATATATATATTAATAAACTTAATATATGGCCCTATATCACATTCTGAAAACATCTTGGCTCGATAAAAAATCTCAGGTTCTCACACCTTTAATAGTTTGTACCTGAACATCATACTTTTACATGACAAATTGTGTGTCCATTAACCTCTGCTAACTATTTACCCACATAAGCTACCAAACAGTCAATCTGAAATTATGGATCTCTAGGACAATATAATCAAGACCAGTGGGAACTTACCTGAGAACTAATAAATAGGTTAATTACTTGCCTGAGTAATTCTGCATTAGTGAGAAAGCTACTTTTGATACGTGTGGGCGCAACAGGAGTCAATTCTGAAACGATAAATTACCTACATTTTTCTTTTTAAGTGTATATAAAAATTCACACTCAACACAGTTGCACTTTTTTGTTACATTCCTAATGTTATCTTTAGTTAGCTTATAGGTGATGGAGGAACAGGATGCAATATATCCCTAAGTTTACTTTAAGTGTCTGTCCCAATCACTACATTGAAGTAATGTAATTTTATTTTTATCTTCAGAAATAATGTTATTAATAATACATCCACCACACATCTATATACAACTTTCCACATACAATACATCTTAATACCGTAGGCCTACATATTTCCATATACTGTAAAGGGTCAGATCAATGCTGAGTTAATTATTTGAATGTTTTGAGAGGTATTTTAAGGTAGGTAGGTACTCGTGGTGTACTCACATCCATTGTCGCCAAACGCCAAACTGTTCTGCATGTTAAAAGAACCAATCTTATTCATTAAAACGTGACAGGGTTTTTTTATTTCAAGATTCTAAATCAACCGCTCGACTGATATTCATGATTTCTGTGTTGAAAGAAAGATAATTTTGAAAGGAAGGTAATGTTTGAAGGCATAACCATTGATTATTAACTTTAGTTTAGAGTTTCAGTTTCTTTAAAAAAATTTAGTTAAACAAATATTTAATCACCTTCTAACCAGGCGGCGGGATCTAAATGGCATCGCATCTTTGAGACTGCAAGGCTCGATGATTGCACTGCAGAGTCAGGGGAAGTACCTGGGAGTGGTATTGGACCAACAGCTGCAATGGTGACCACAACTCCAAAAGGTCATTGACTGAGATGACCACTCATGGCATATAGCCGAATGGTGGGAGGGACCTGGGGGCTCAAGGCGGGGCTCATGCACTGGCTGTTTGTCACTAACAAGACTACAAGATCGCGCCACTCATCCTAAACTCATATTGAGTTAAAATACGCACATAGTGGCATCCCCAACTAAATTAATAATTGATAATTGACTCGCTTGCCTCATCATCACAGGCCCAATTAGCAGCTGTCCAGGAGCCACGTGGGACTGACTTCTCAAATTTAACTCCAATTGACTTTCATGTTAAGGTCACTGAGACGAAGACTGCCTACAGACTCCAGTGTGAAAACCTTTGGTTGGATGCTGGAGGATACCGAGGTCACTCTCAGATACCTTCGGACCACATGCCGATTGGATTCTTCTTTGCCAGGCCATTCACCATCCTTCTTCCATCCAGGGATGAGTAGGTGTCGGGAGGGAATCCTCTTCCACATGGTGACCTTGAATAGTATACTGATGGTTCAAAGGAAAGAAGTGGGACGTGGACTGGAATTCACAGAGAGCAGAATGGGGTGGACTTATGTCTTCCCATGGGAACACATCCAACTGTGTTCCAGGCAAAAATAACTCCGATAATGGAGTGTGCCAGGGAGAACCCGAGGCTGGGCTTCAGGGACATGAACATTTCCGTTTTCACAGACAGCCAGGATGCCCTCAAGGCGCTCGCCTCCTGCGAATTCAAGTCTAAGGTGGACTGCCTCACTGCAGTATGAGCACTTGGCAGGCAACACAGTACCTAACACTCTTTTGGGTTTCTGGACATTCAGGAATAGAAGAGAACAAGATGGTGGCTGACAAGTTAGCAAACATTTTGTCTGCCTCAGATTTTGTGGGAAGCTCAGCCTTTCTGTGGAATTTATCATGGGTATGCATGTCACTAAGTCGTGTCATGGGCTCAGGAGGAACACATTGAAAGATGAATTAGGCTTCAACATTTTAAGGTAAGCGAGCTCACTTTCTCTTCTCCCCTTCCCAGATGGTCGCCTCTAATGCTCTACGATTAGACACGAGGCAACACACACACAGAACAGAAATCAGAAACGTTTTATTGTCCTTCAACATTTACAATAAATGCAATAGACAAAAGTCAAGAAAATTCAGCTATTACATAAACAGCATATTTTTAGGCAAAACAAAACAAGCCTAAAAACAAGTCATAATAGGCTATACTAATATATATGCTTACAAATAAAAAGAAGAATGTGGAAATGTGAGGACATTAAAAGTTAACTTCGTCAACCTTAAAATATTCTTTTATGTCATAAAAAGGATTTAAAAGTAACCAATCCTGAGTTCTTTTTTTAAATGACTTAAGGTCCAATTCTTTGGCATTGATGGTAAGCTTATTAAATAATCTTAATGAGGTAACATGGTAACTATTTTTACATTTACTTAACCTACGATAAGGCACGTCTATTAGGAACTGATTACGTGTATTGTGTGAACGGATATTAAACCTATAAACAACAGGTTTAAGGAACACATCACAGGAATGGTCACAGGCCATGGCTCCCTGAAAATGCACCTACATCACTTGAGGATCTATTATGGAGACACTGCGTGTAAGAAATGTGGGCAGTACGAGGAGACAGCAGATCATCTACTCTATAACTGCACAGCTCTAAACGAGGTAAGGGACAATGAACACTCTTGGAACAATGACACAGGGTAGACACCTTCCCCAGGAGCAGCTCATAGATAAGATGCAGCAGTTTATCAAGCTACTCAGGTTTGACGAGGTCTGATGCGCCAAGTTGAGAGCACAAAACGCCCATCTGCGGCTGACGTGCATCAGGACATGGTCCGCCCCTTCTAAATCAATCAATCAAAGCCATCTGGGAAGTTTCATCAATTTAAGCTATGTGAATGTGTTGGGAAGTTTACAAAAGTTATTGAAGCTGAAATCAGGAAGAATACAAACTCCTATATTGGGGTCTCATTAGATCACTCTCTAAAAGTGCCACCTACCCAAATCATGCAAAAGTGGAGGGTCCTCAAGAAATGTGTGAAGTCTTTACCAATCACTTCTCTTTGGTCTATGCTCCGCCACAGAAAACATACTACTATAACACAGAATGCCAACCGCATGGTAAAAAGCATTTTAAAAGTGTTTTGAGAGAGCTTTGCCTGTCAATTGGTAGGCAGCGCCACCAGCGTTGCTATGCTGAGTGCATGGCAACGCTGGTGGCGCTGCCTACGATTTGGCGGGCAAAGCTCTCTCAAAACACCTAATGCTTTTTACCATGCAGTTCGCATTCTGGGTTATAGTAGTATGTTTTCTGTGGCTCCGCCTAATAGTACAATACCCCAGGGCCGGAACAAGGGGGGGGCAGAGGGGGCGGTTGCCCCGGGCGGCAGGGTTGAGGGGCGGCAAATTTCTGGTTGCAGAAAATTTGTTTAATACAGTTTGTAAAAGTTTTTAATGAGCCGAACGTCATAAGGAACGTCAATTAAGTAATTTCAAAACTGCATAACGTAATAAACAAACAATAATTTTACAATAGAAATCAATATAAATTGCAACGGAGTAGAAAACACTGAGAGCCCTAATAGCATAGTTAGTACACAGCAAAGTTTGTTTACAATTTCAGCTGATCGCCATCCCAGTCAAGGCGCCATGCCGCCCTGCCTCACTGCCGTGGTTCGTTATATAGAGGTTAGGTTTGCAGGAATTTCGCTAAGTCGAGGTTCAGAACCAGCGTCGATCAATATAGGTCGGGACTTGACCTCATTAAAATACAGTACAATAAAAGTAGCATGGGCTACAATACTTTACAGTACAGTGTTTACATTGTACAGTAGAACCTAAATTATCCGGCATAATAAAGGGGAGGGATCTTGAATATTGCGCAATCATGACAATGGCATTGACCTTGGTACAGGTTAAAAACTATAAGTTTAAAATCACAGCTAGTTCTAACCCTCCTAAAACCTACCCAAACACTGTATTGCGTAGTCATAAATTATGTAAAGAACAAAACAAAACAGTAGAAAGTTTTGTAAGCTACTGCTCGCGATAGGCCGGTAGGCTACTTACAGTACAATACTGATTTATCACAACAGAGGAATGTCAATAATAATCATTAACTATAGCATTGGTGTTGCTAATGCTAGTTGAAACAAATCATATTGAAAACAATAAATTATTAGATAAGTCATTATAAAAGTGTATAATCATAGCCAACTTAAGGATAGTAAAAATACTCGTAAAAGGAATGTTAAAATAGCGATGTTGTTATTCTTTCTCTTTGGTTTTGTTTTTATATTCTTTCTTAGGTTTTTCTTTATCAAAAAAATTTTACAATTCACCATAGTTATCCCATATCGCCCAATCACAGCATACTAAACATTACGTCGTCATCAGTCCTCAGTGAATGAAATCAGTTCTCAGTTGCAGTTGCAACATATAGCGCGCGCAGAGACAGCAGACAAAGATGTAAAACGGAGCAGACGAATGTTAGCGCAAGCGATGACGTGACCTTTCCATTTCATTTGACAAAGTAACAGATTTTCCCAAAACAATAATTGGGTGGGGGATTTGTTATATCGAGGGAAAGACGTAGACAATTCGTTATGCAGAGGTTAAATTCGCAATGTAGAGGTTCTGACAATGATAAATTTGTTATATTGAGGTGTCTTATTTTAGCCGAAATCACGAAAAATTCGTTAAATCAAGGTCGTTGTTATAGTTTGTTCGTTATGTAGAGGTAAAATATACATTGTGTCTTATGGAGAGTTCTAGGGGATTAAAAAAAATTCGTTATATCAAGGAATTCGTTATATCTACCTATTCCACTTTACCTATTCCATTTTTGTTTAATTTGTGAGGGATTTTTTGTTGTGGGTGAAGGGGGGGAGGGGCGGCAAATTTTAGTTTGCCCCCACTCAAAAATTGTCTAGATCCGGCCCTGCAATACCCAACTACGTTTTCCATTCTAATCCCAATGTAGGCCTACCTACCTGTGTAGCATAATGTAGTTGACGTTGAATTTGAGAGTAAAAATCAATTTTTATCCCTCATGATCCTATAGGCCTAGTCTAAGTTAATGCTGGTTTGCAAACTCTTCGAATGAACATAGGTTAACATGTTTGTACCAAATTTCATCAAAATTGGATGATTTTTGCTGGAGTTACCATGCTAATGGACACATAAGTTGTACATAGGCCTAGGTCTATTATAATAAATTTACAGTAGGCCTATGAATTGAACGGATGGTGTTTTTGGCCTCTGGGGACATCAAAACGAAAAAGTAAATCGGTCCCGGTTCCAGGTCTTACCACAAGATCGTACGGTAATAGCCGTAGGTAGTTACTTATGTAAACAAAAACATACTTAATACTTAGGTCCTTTACATAATCTTAGGCCTACTTTTTTTGGCGACCATACCATACCAAGTTGTCTTTTAGGACAAACCTTAAGTTGAAGATGAAAAGCATAAAATTACTTAGGCCTAAGTTTAGCATACTTTAGAAAAAGTTACCTAAACTTAGCTTATGCCTAGGCCTACGGTATATATATCTAGCCTACTAAGGCAGATAAATATGTCGTGCCTAACAACCAAGTATGGTCGTTTAAGATCCGTAGAACAAGCATAATTTAGCTTTAAATCTGAGTAGGCAATAATAAAGTTTACCTTCATATTCCTATGTTGTTAAATGCTGAACACAATATTGTCATCCTGCCATGAAGTAAACCATCACAGAAGTACTATAGCCTTCTGACATTGACTCGCCTATTCAATGAAAAAGACTAATAACTGAGACAGAACTGAAAGTGCTAAGCGCTAGCTCTGCTCTAGCCTAGTTAGTAAGAAAATTATAAGATGGTGATAGCATTGGAGATTTGATACAGATAAACCGAACCGAATGAACTGAGTAAAACATTAAAACAATAATAGTTAGTACGAACAACCAGTAACCAGAACCGTCTGCCTGAACAGTGTTGCCAGTTGCCATTTCCATAAGCTCAAATTAATAATGTTTTCTTTTCGAATTCCGATTACTATAATATAGTATAGTATATACTATATCATAGATTATAGTATATATTATATACTAGAATATAGTACCATAGATTAAACATACTCCATTAGGGAGTATCGATGCTAGTACGTAGATGACGCACTATGAAACAGTTGGGTTATTTTTTTGTTTTTGGACGGACTGACTGTTCTTTTATCCGAGCTGTAATTTTGCATTGCTTTGACTATTTACATAAGATGTGGAATGGAAAGCGAATGAGGACCTCTCATCGGGAATTTTAGATTGAGTTATATGTATATAGGCCTATATTTGAATTCCTTATTAAATTCCGAATCGCTTGGTACCACTGAGCTATAATTCTAACTGGAGGTAGTAGGTACTGTCTTGGCAGAAGTCTGTCAAAAAGTTGTGTTGCTAGCCTAGTGGTTAGCGTCTCGGACTTCGGTGCCGGAGAGACGGTTCATCTCAATCCCCGGCACATCCATGGTGGAAGTGGGCACATCCACTAAACATTTATTCTCTCGTACAGCGAGCACTCTCGTAACTCTCTTGTAAAATGCCACTGGCGTAAAAGAAAAAGAAAGTGTGTCGCTGTGATTTTGTTAGGTTGGTACTACAGAAAACATACTGCTATAGTAAGTAGTGATGCGACTATCGACTAGTTTGCCCTATCGACTAGTGACTAGTCGACTACTTTCAAACATCGATTAGTCTAGTCGAACAAACTAGTCGACTAGTTTCCCCCACCAAATCATATAACTTAAACAATGTTTTTCATGTTATGACAGGTTGTTACTTGATTGCCAGCAGCCTTTGCATTCGCACTCCGCAGTTGCGTTTAATACAGGACCTAAGCTAAACATTATTTTTGTTTATAAGTCGCTACATCGCGTGTTACTATTTAAGTTTTTTTAGTTTTTTATTAATAAAAATTTTACGTGTTAGAGTGTGAGTGTGTGATGTATGATTAATTTGCATGTAAAATGGCTCCAAAACGGTCAATAGTGTGGGAACATTTTGATAGACTTGACAAAGAAACTGTCTTGTGTAAATTATGCAGGAAAAAGCTAAAATGTGTTAACAACACCAGCAATATGCGCTTACACTTAAGGAGCAAGCACCCTACTTCGTTGTGTGTTGAAAGTTTTGGCGTTTCTCCGGAAGAAAGAAATGTGGACGACCCTGCAGAGGTTATGCCATCTACATCAACCGCTGGGGCTGGTACGAGTGCATCTAACTTTGACAACTCGCAAACCACCGGTAAGAGTACTTCTACTACTGACATACACACCACTGACCTATCCAGCGTCAATTGTCCGCCCAAAAAACGTTGTAGACAGCTGAAATTAACTACAAGAACCATGACTTTTACAGATCAAGAAAAGCGTTCTATTGATAGGGCTCTTGTAAAAATGGTAGGGAAAGACCTGCAACCTCTATCTGTTGTAGAGAACGTAGGCTTTAGGGAATACACGGAAAAACTTCAGCCAAACTATACATTACCATCACGAAAGACCCTAACCAACAAACTAATCCCAGAAATTTGCGATGAAATTACTCAGAAAATTACAAATATGTTGAACCAAACTGAAAATGTCGGGATAACGACAGACATATGGTCATCGGACTCTAACAAGTCATATTTAACTGTCACATGTCATTTCATTTATAACAGCGAAATAGAAAATGTTGTTCTTGATACTAAAGAACTCCCCGGCAGTCATACAGCAGATGCCATAGCAGCAGGCGTCCAGAGCATTTTGGATGCATGGAATATTTCACAAAAGGTAACAGCCATTATCACTGACAATGGGTCAAACGTAAAAAAGGCTGTTATAGACATCTTAAAAAAGACCCATATACCTTGTGTCGGACACACATTAAATCTGTGTGTTACAGATGCGATCGAATCAAATGATGGTTTCAAAGAGTCACTGAAGAAGTGCAAAAAAATTGTAGCTTACTTCAAAAGTAGCAATTTGGCAGCAGACAAATTGAAAGAAGTACAGACCCAAATGAACTTAACTACTCTAAAAGTCAAACAAGAAGTTAGCACTAGATGGAATTCTAGCTACATAATGATCGAAAGGTTATTAGAAATAAGAGAACCTTTATCTGTAGCTATGTCGTATTTGCCTAATGCTCCAGAACCACTTGATGCATCTGAATGGCTACACCTCAAAGAATGTGTTAGCGTTCTAGAACCTCTTCATACAATGACTGAAGAAATGTCCGGAGAGAAATACCCTACTTTGTCTATGGTGATACCCTTGTTAAGGAGTATTCAGCATGCCCTGAGATGTACTGAGACTAACACTGATGTAGGGGTATATTTGAAAACCAAACTTATTGAAGTTATTTCGAGAAGATTTAGTGGGTGGGAAACAAATAAACTTACAGCCAAAGCAACTTTTCTAGACCCTCGCTTCATGAAGGCTGCATTTGGACTTGCAGAAAATGCTAAGAAAGTAGAAGAATATGTCATCGACGAACTCGAGTACTTAAAAAAGAAATCCCAGCATATCAACGACGACAATGAAGAGGATTTAAATGCCCAAGGAAACCCCCTTCCCTCTAATGTCAGCTGCATGGATAAAAAAGACCTAGCTAGAAAAAAACTTTGGGAGTGGGTTGATGCTAGGGTGGAAGAAAAAAAGAAAACATCCACGTCTTCTGTCACAGCAAGTAGTGTTCTTGTCGTAAGACACTATTTAGAGTTGCCACAGCCAGAAAGATGGAAGAGCCCTCTTGCCTTTTGTGTAAAGCACAAGGAAATACTTCCAGAAATCCACAAACTACAAACAAAATATTTGTGTTTACCGGCAACATCGGTCCCATCTGAAAGGCTTTTTTCTATTGCTGGCTTAGTCACAAACGACCGTAGAAACAGACTAGATCCTAAAAACCTCAACAATATTTTATTCTTGCACTCCAACATGAAATGAAGATTTGGACATCTAATAAGTGCTGAAGTTATCTCTAAAGTGTTGTATTGTCTATCTTAGTAGCGTACGTTCTCTTTCCCAACCCTCATTGACCGACGAATATATTCGATTCGATTTTTTTGTGTCAAGTTTATATGTAATTGTCTCTCTTAAGTTGTATAACAGTATCTCTTCCCTTCCCTTATTATTATTTGCTGAAGTTACAAACTTGTTGTTCTCTTTTAGTATTGTTTTGTGTCTCATTTACTTATATTCATCTTTGACGAATATATTTTACTTTTGGTTTCAAGTTTATATTAAATTTAATTATTGTATCTCTTAAAAGTATTGCATTGTATCTTTCATCTTTTTATTATGTGATGAAGTATCATATTATTTCATAAGTATTGAATTGTCTCACTTAAGTTGTCTCTTAGTTTTTACAGTATCGTCTATTTCAGCACTTATATCCTCTTTGACAAATATATTTTGCGTTTGTGTAAAAGTTGATATTTACTTGTAATGATTTTTATGGTTAAAAAATTGTTTTTTTTTTCAGGCTACTGATATTTATAAAAATAAAATGTTTGCTCTGCTCAATTGTTTTTAACATCTCCTATTCAATACAGTAGATTTACTTAATCAATACCACGATTATATTTGTATACATTTCTAAAGTATGTTAAAACAGTTGAGATGAAGTTAGCCTTTTCAAATGGCTATAATTTACAACTGTGTTTTGGTCAAATTATCAGTCTTAAGATGTATTTTAATTAAATAACAGAAGGAATAAAATATCCAACAGTCTATTTACGCCAGAAGCATACTGTGAACTTTTATAAGATATAAATAAATAGAACTACGGCATTTATTAGTCTTGCAATATTTATTACAACACATACTAGAAACAACTACAGTAAATAATCTAATGGAGAATCGACTAGTCGCAATATTTTTATGCCCCTTAATTAGTTCTTACTTTTAATACCGACTAGTTTACTAGTAAATTTCAAAGAATAGTCGATAAGATAAAGATTGACAGGGAGCCGAGTAAGCGTACGCCTTGTTGCCTTCACTACCTACTATTCGACTAGTCAACTAAAAATATCGATTAGTCGACTACTTGGACAACTAGTCGGTTAAACGACTAGTCGACTACCACATCACTAATAGTAAGTTAGTATGTATTCTGTGGTTGGTACTGCAGTGAGAATGGAATCGTAGAATTAGAAATAACATTGCAACCTACTCCTCTTTTCTAATGGATTTCATAAATATAAATTTACTTAAAATAGATAATCAAAATTCCAATAAAGTTATAATAAGATGTATTTAGGTTCTATAGCTTTATTACAACAATCTCATGGGGCTAAGACGGTTAAATTATATTTTGGTCTAGGTTTTTATAGATGGGCAAGGTTACAATTTGGAGAGCAATTATCTTAATCTAGGGGTTGGTTCGTGCCGGGTATGAAATTCTGATAGGCTAATTTACTTAATTTATAGGTAGACTACTAATGTAGGCTAAATAATATGAAATAATAATAGTGTCAAAAATTTAGGCTATAGGTTCTTAGTTTGAAACAATCACTTAAAATCTAGTCTATTCACAATGGTGTGATGGTGGTTGGAAATTAATGGTGATTTTTAAATGTCTATTGAATTTGATACAACCAATTTGTATTGAACACTTATCTTCTTTCTTGATTTCTCTTTATAGTCGATATTTCTATATGATCTGAATGTTAATTTTATAGACTTTTGAATATTTAATCACTGGAGACTTGGCTCCCACATCCATTTCCATCTAACTTATATCTTCCACCACAAGCACATTTTCTTCATTTGTTTTAGCTTTTCTTCCAACAATGCTACTTCACACCTGGACACTGGACAGTACATAGGAAATATTTCCTACCTACACACCATTTAATTTTAGAATATTATTTTTGAATACAGTGTTTTCTTCAGGTCCGTGAAGTTGGCGTACCTATATTAGCGTATCCACTTTTGTTCA